GGCAAGCCAAAGCTTCTGTCGCACGGAGTCCGGGGGTTGGCATTCAGGTTTTGAATCGGTTTCTGTAACTTCGGCTTAGTGCGTCATCTGAGGCTTCACTTGACCGTTGGCGGTTCTTGCTGTCGACCAGTGTGCATCCTTGGATAAATCCGAGTATTTGTAAGAATGAAGGATCATGCTTTTAAAAATCGCCAAATTCCGAATTCCCCCTCACAGCGACAACGCGTCTTGCTTGAAAGAGCTTGCATGTGCTGGGTCTTACTTCAGGCTCTACTAGGCCACCTACTAGACCCAAAACCTCCCAAGCCGGGGAGTATCAACAGCGTCCTGGCTGGTGTCTGAACCCTTGGAGACCTCCGAAATTGTTCCTGCGTCGTCCTGGCAATCTGTCGCAGGTATTCAAGATGGCAACACTGACAAGCACCACCCCGACTCATCTTCACATTGCTGCTGTTCCGAAGACCATTGCTCCCATCATATACACACTATGTAAAAAATGACAGCAGAACCACTACTGTACGGACTATACCCCAGTTCAACTGGTTATTCAATCTCAATCTTAGTCATGTATTTACTGTAGCCGCATACAGGGAAGAACAGTAGCGCATCATGAGTCATGAGGATACTGTGCAAAAGGGGGGGCCAATATGACAGTACAGCAGCTGAAAAACCTTTAAGAAAACTGACAGCACAGTTGTGTTTGAGAGTTCCAGATGCAGCCATGTAGGATGGAAAAGTGTGTCAAAGCTTCGACATGTATTCCTGATTTGGCTTTACGCCCCAGAACTTCAACCTGGAATGTTACTGTCGCGACTTGCGACGCTATGCACGGCACTTCTCCATCCGAGTCGTGATGCTGGGCGTGATTGTACTCGCGCATCTGTCACCAAGCAGAACAATTGCTTGGAGACTGCAGGGTTCGCAGTTGTGCCCTGTTTCGACATCGGTCAGCATGGCTTAATATTGCACTGCGCCGTGACCTGTAATGCGTCATGCTGGGACTTGGACAAAAGTTCCATGTCGTGCCGAGGCGGGGTCCTCCGAAGATGAAGCCATGAGCTGCTAACGCCCCAGACCTTCCCTTTGGAGCCGAAATACTCACCTCCGGAACCTTCGGAAGATGAGTGGTCTTTTTCCGGGAGGATCCGGAGCTTCTTCAACCCCGGTCTACAAGGCCTGGCTCTCCAAAGGCCGCCAGGCCCCGAAGTCCGGGGAACCTCTCCGCACCCGCTCCCTCCGGGGCCCCGGCGGTTCCCGAAGCCCGAGACACCCGGTGCGCTGCGGTGTGAGACAAGCATGCCAGGCCTCGGTGCTCGACTTTGGGGCTGCTTTGGGGCGTAGGCTTCAGGATTTTATGGTGCAGGATTCCATAAGCTTGCAGATTTGCCCGGGGGGCCTTCATCTTCCCTTCGGACGTTTGCGACCCGGAGATCAGACACAGTCGCAGTAGTAATCCCCGTCACTCTAATCATCGCCACCACCGCCATCATAGTAAAATGGGTTGCGTCCTGAGTTAGGGTTCGCTTGCAGTTCTCCGGTGAGCGCTTCAAACAATGAGACCCTCATCTAGGGAACCAAACACGTGTTATTTAGCTATAGCCTGGGACTGCTTTTCTCTGCTAAGGGTAGGCAAATTCCATGCTCGCGTCTCCTTCGGAGACGGAAAAGCACCACCTGCCTCAGGGAAGCGAAGCGGTGACCTAGTAATGAACAACATTTTGGAGCAGCTTCAGAGGTCATAAGTGTTGCGCCAACGGGGGATAACGACACTAAGTATGTAATTAGCACCTTTGCAACTCCAAGATGTCGCGCAGGGAGCGGGTGTATCAGTGCAGCAACCTGGGAAAGCGGAGCCGTCGGAAGATGGCTACGAGTACTAAATCTACGGTCAAGGCCCACGGGCGCCCAGGGTCACATCAATGGCCGCGCATAGGGAATGGCAGGAAGTGACAAAGTCTTTGCTTCGTAATGGGGCATCTCGTCAACCCTCTGGCGGGGTATGGGCATGGGCTTGGGCAGTGCCTGGAGGATAATTGACCGAGGACGTTGGAACTCTGGAATTCTTCGTAGGCACTCCTGGTAGCGCCGCTCGTACATGGCGAAGCGTGCAGCATCGAAGGGGCCTCCGTCGTAGGCGAACTCCACCTCATCCATGAGGGTGGCCACATCCCAGAGATGCCTATTGAGCGTGGAGCCTGTGTAGAAGGGCTTTCCGCCCAATGCATCCCCCAGCAATATAAAGGGAACCAGCTGATCCCCGACGCCAAGCTGGCAGACGGCATGATCAGCGGACCAGAACGAGGCTTCTACAAACCTGGCAGAGGGAAAGCATGCATGTAGGCTCAACGCCGCCTGTCTGAGTTCATGGTCTTCTTATGTTGGGTTCATTTACACCTCACGCCTCTGACAAAGCCCACTTATAAGCAAGAGAAGCCGGTAAAGGCAGGGCCTGCAGGTGACGCCCGCCGCTCGGACTCGCTGCTGCAGCGCCTCGAGCGCAGGTTTCAGCGCCTGGGAGGTCACTCCAACCAGGTCCTGAAGCCGATTTAGGGTTTAAAATTTAGGGTTTAGGGTTTAGGGCCTTAGGGTTTGCTCAGGTTTGCTCAAGTCGGTGTAGTAAGCATCATTTTTGTCACTCTCGCACTGCTGAGGACTATGCTCCCCGCGAGGTCTGAATTGGAAAGAAAGTAGGCAACTATACAACACTAAAGACACACTGTTGTCGCATCCTACAAGACGCCCAGAAATTTCAGCTCACGAACACCGCAGACCCAAAGCAAAAAATAAATCGCCTAAACCCTTTGCACTAACCCAAGTAAGCAAAAGCGCGAGCTGCTTTGAGCCAGGCAAACCTTTGCGGTTCTGGGCCGGGCTACCGCTGAAAACCGCAAGGTCAAATTCATCTCTCAGCACACCAAAACCTGAATATTCAACCTGAACAATTCGTTGACCTATAGCCATACCGTTTGGGGCTTGGGCGGGGTAATGCGGGGTGTGTGATACGGTACTGAGAGCGTCACGAAAATCAACCCTAAACCCTAAACCCCATAGGCCCTAAACCCTAAACCCTATAGGCCCTAAACCCTAACCGCAAAAAAAAAAAAAGGCCCAACGGGGTCCTCGAAAGCCTCTGCCAGGGTCCCTCGCGGCGTCGACGAGGCGCCCCTCGGGACGAAGGACTCCAAAAGCTCGCCGGAGAGTCCGAAGACCCAGAGCCAACCTGGGCTGCTCTTTGCGGAACTTGAAACTTAAGTTACTGGTACTATGCTTACTTTTAATAAGGAAACCCTACTACCTACTACATGTGTGTATGTATGTATATATATATAGGGTTTCGGATCGAAGCAGTAGCTATTGCCGGCAACCCCAAGTGTCATTTGTTGGCACGACCGTCGCTGCCATTAAATCTCCTGCCTGGCACAGAAACCAGCGAGCTCGGAGAGCCAGGGACCGCAGGCGAATACACCACTGTCGTCGCGAAGGCAAGGCTCCGCCCAGGCGAGCTTTGCTACACCTGTCTGGTCACCACAGCCGGCCAGCCTACCGCGAGCTCATGGGAGGGAACAAAGGATGGCAATCAAAGAAATGGGCTGCATCCTATTCTGGACAGCGAGCATACTCCTACAACTGGGATCCGGAGCAGAGCTGGGATCACGAGTGGAGTTCTTCGAAGCCAACCAAGGCCTTCCCCTCCTACGACCAGGTGGCTGTGAACGACGATCACAAGACAGGCGACAAGCGAGCACGTGGACAGGAAGACGAGCAGCATGGCGGCGACTTCGTCAAGGACATTCAGAAGATGCTGAACCTTGCACGACGAGCACAAGGCCGAGTACGCCGAGCCCAAGCCGAGAAAAAGACAGCGGCTGGGAAGTGGACAGAGTGGCAAAGCCAGATGAAAGCTGCTTTCAAGAAGGAGTCGGCGAAGTACCAAGCGGACCAGCGTCGTATCCAGGAGGAGATCGACGAGCAGCTCGAGGTCCACCACCAAGCAATGGCCGACCTTCAGGAGTTCCTCGAGAACCCCTTCGATGGCAAGAAGATCAGGGAGGAGCTCCAGGACGATGCCGATATCGAAGCAGCCTGGCGAAAGCTCACAGACTTCCAGGACGACGAGAGCGAGATTGCGGAGCTGTTGGCGGCCAACAAGGCGAAGCCTCTTGGAGAGGAGGCCCGGAAGCGGCTCAGGAACTACGTCAAGGCCATGGCTGCGGAAATGCGCAGCTCTACCAGCACGAGGGGTGCACCCCCTCCGGAAGACAGCCGGCACGATGTCAAGGAGGAAGTGAACGACGTGGACATGCCGGACATGCTCCCTCCGCCCTATCAGTCGTCGCCCACTACCCGGACGACAAAGACCTCACCGCTTGTGGTGCGAGGACCCAAGATACGGGGACCGTCGAGAATGCCTATCAAGCCCGCCATTCGGGCTCGCACCCCAACACCGAAGCCGGGCACTACTTTGAGTGCAAAGCTCGAAGCCAGGCGGCAGCGAGTCACCATCGAACTTCAGGACTCCGAGGACGACCGCATTGGGGACCTGGCCGGGCCCGAGAAGCCGGAAGGCCCTCCCCTCGAGCTGGATGCAGAAGAGTAGCCACTACGACATGGGGCAATATAAGCAGCATTTTGCTGACTAGCCCCCTGATGGAGGTTGAGATGGGGATCTCGGCCAAGCTTTCTATGTGGTTTTCTAGTATGAGCAGCACTTTGCTGACCTTGAGGAGGAGATCGGGGCATGTTCGACTCCTGGACCTTCTGCCGGGCTCCCTTGGAGCAGCAGAGCTATTCCTTTTGGGTGACTTTTTCGGCTTGTTCACCCTGGATCACTTTTTCCATTGTGGGTGCTACGACCTCCTCTACCCGGACTTTTGGGCCGATTATGAGGGGAACCTGCAGGACTATGTGACCTTTGTGGAGCATCAACCATTGGCTCCATTGGCCTCCAGACTCTCCTATGTCCGAGGAGAGTGGAGGGACTCAGCAATCTGGCACGGCCCTGCGGGAGGCCACGACCAGCAGTATGACAATGTCTTTCGTATCTACGACCTCTTTGATGCGATTTCCCTCCTGTGGGCCTTTATTGAGGAGGTTTTCCAGTCTTGGGCGGCTGGAATGCAGGTACGAGCCTGTGCGGCTTGCTGCACCTTCATGCTCGTGCAACTCGTGGTCCTCCTGATGCTTTTGCTGACAGGAGGTGGCGGTGGCTCTGGGAGGAGTTGCCGGACGATCCAGTGTCGTAGACTTTGCGTGGTGGTGGCCTTTGCACTCATTTCTGGTGTGGGGGCAGTGAGAACCGGACCGACGAGGCAGCCTTTCCAATACCCGCGCCCACCACAGCAAACGGACCTCGAGCTTTGGGCCTCTGGGCAACTCACCATCCGAGAGCAGATGTGTCGAGAATGGAGCAGATTGGTGGCTGCCCAGCAGTTGGAGCACTCGGCAGGGGAAGCCGATGCACCATGTTACACAGCCTCGGCTGAGGATGCACAAGCTCTCTTGAATGAGGCCAACCTTTTGCCCAGGACCATCCATATCACAGTTTGGCTGGCCACACCATACTACGAAGAAGAGATCTTGGACATGGGAGTGGCCTTTCCACAGACCAGGGCGGGTCTGGAAAGGGCCATCTACAACACCAGCAGGGCCTTGCCCTCGGGCGCAGAGGAGATCGTCTTCACCACACCACAGCTGGGCACTTTGTTCGCCAGCTGTGTGGCTGTTCCGAGATGGCTGCATGTGATAGGCAAAACGGTTCAGGTGCTAGACTGTACTAAAGTTGGAGGAGCAGCCTTTGCCTACTACCACCAGGGGCCCATCACCAGAGAATCTTTGCGGCAGCTGCTGCCCCCGGATGAGGATGCCGACGAGGTGGACTTCTTTGTCTACGGTGGCACCCAGCCCATTGGTCCAGCACAGTCTGTTGAGCCCATACAGGGTGGTCTGATCAAGGCGATATACAAAGGTGACAGTTGCGAGTGGGCAGATGACATTGAGTCCCGTTTGAGTGATGTTAACAGATGGGACCACAGAGCTGATTTGCCTGCCTCTATGGAAGGCAGGTATGTGGTCTACCAGAGCAGGACGGATCAGATCGTCTTCTCTGACTACCTGGCTGAGGAGCGAAATCTTCTGCACATGGCCGAGCAGCTTTTCAGTTTCGACGAGAACAATTGCTGGATACGGCTTCCTGCCGAGCCCCTGGCCCACCTGTCCCATGCGGGTCGCAACATCACCAGACAAATTGCAGTTCTGGAAGGGCCGAGGGATACACCGCTGCTCACGATCGATCATGCTGTAGTCTTCGTGGACCTCAGGGAGCTTGGCATGTTTCCTCAATGGATTTTGCTGGAGGATGGCTTTTTCGACCCGACGGCCTTCCTCGATGACATTCGTTTTCCGACGGTGGAGGGCTGGACAGTCATTATAGAAGGAGGTGATCCATGCAGCCCGGCTCCTTGCATGGAAGTGCGAGATGGTGAGACGCTCCGGTTTTTCCTCAGAGAAGGATCTGGGTCCAGCAGTTCCAGCAGCTCTAGAGGCAGTGATGGCTCGGATGATCAAGGCCCAGACGACAATGCTGACAGTGACAGTTCGGGAGGAAGCAGCCTTCTGGACTCAAGTGATTTTTCGGGTCCACCGGTGCCAGATGATGGGGTACCGAGGGGCCCCCCTCCACCACAGCCAGTGGATAGAAGTCGGTCACCGCGACGCCGGCAAGTGGACTCGACGACCCCGGGCCCTACAGCTCTGCAGATCAGCAAGGGGGTACAGCCGCCGACCTTTGACCTGACGCACCAGTCTGTGGAGTTGCCATGCGATGAAGGGGCACTGACGACCTTACTCCACACCTGGGCTCCGGACTGGATGCAGCCTGACATCAGTTCGGCTAAGCTCAAAAAGCCAACGGTGGAGAAGCTTGCTGGGCATGTACACTGGAGTGATCTCTTGTCTCGTCTGAAGCCGGGCGAGCTCCCTGAAGCACATCTTTATACCGATGGGGCCTGGAACCCCAAGACTGGCCTGGGAGGGTATGCAGTTGCTATTATCCTCGTGGCCTCCGGGATGCAGGCCGTTTTCGGACTACTTGGCGAACAAGTGCCAGGACATGATCTTACTCCTTGGGAATTTCAGGCTCCCCCTGCACTGCGGGTGGAGCAAGTGGCACTGGCCACATCTCTTCTTTGGCTCCTCCAAGGATGCTCTTTTCTCAGATTTGAGAGCGCCACAGTGCATTTTGACTGCCTAGCGGCAGGATGGTCGACGAGTGGTCAATGGGGGCCAACAAACAGTTTCGGCCTCCGCACCCATGCCCTCCAGCAGTACCTGCATGAGCTGATGGACCCACCGCCGACCTTCTGCCATGTAGCTGCTCACAATGGGCATCCCTACAACGAATTGGTGGACTCACTGGCGAAGCAGGTTTCCACCAGAGATATCTGGTTGCCTACACCGCCCGTCGAGGTGGTTAGGGCATTTCTCTCCACAGACCTTTCTTGGCTGGGGGTCATTGCCAGGAATTTTACCACAGGTGGGCTACCTCTACAAGCAGGCCATGTTCTCCAGTGGCAAGTTGGAGGAAAAGAGGGCCCTGCAGAGCTGACTCCGGAGCAGCTCATTCCGGTCAAGAGCAGTGGACAAGATTCTTGGGGTAGTCCACAGGCCTTTGAGATGAAGGTTCTATCCCTGAATGCTCAGAGTCTTTCGGGCAAGTATCGTTACTTCGAGGAGCAGCTTGATGCTCTGCAGTGCCATCTGGCCCTTTTCCAGGAATCAAAGGGCTCCTCCAGTGTGATTGCCAGCAAATCTTTTCTGCGTCTGGCCACTGATGGGGCCTCACATTGGGGAGTGGCTGTGTGGATCAGTCGCAAGAGAGGCCTGCTCACCTTGGACGGCAAGGCTCGCATCATCGAGGAAGCTGCTATCAGGGTAGTGCATGAGAGCCCCAGGCTTCTGATACTGGCCATCGACGTTGGGGGCAAAAAGATCATTGTGTATTCGGGGCATTGCCCGCATGCCGCCAAAGGACAGGAGGCAAAGGCCTTCATTTCTGACTTCCGACGACACCTTGGACCTTTGAGACAATCCTCTTTGGTGGTGGGAGGCCTGGATCTGAATGGTAGAGTTGCCACCAACGTTTCGCAGACAACAGGTGGGATCTCATTTGGAGAGGAAGATGCCATTGGAAGGGACATGACGGAGGCTGCCAGGGAACTCCATCTTTGGTTCCCCTCCACCTTCGACAGATTGCATGTTGGAGAGCATTTCACGTACCAGCAGGCGAATGGAGGGGTTCACAGGATCGACTATATCCAGTTGGGTGGCATCTCTGAGATCTCTTTTCTGAAAAGTTGGGTCCAGTATGAATTTGACACAGCCTCTCCCAATGAAGATCATTGGCCTGTTATGGTGGACATGAGTGGTTTCTTTGATGTGAAGACCGCGGCAGGACGAACCAGCAAGGTGTGGAGGCCCACCTATGATACAGCCAAAATCCTGAGCCCGGAGGGCAAGCAGGTGATTGAACAGGCCCTCGGAAGGTATGTGCAACCTTCGTGGCAGTGTGACCCCAGTGAACACTGCCAGCACTTCCAGGAGTTCCTCCATGGTGTCCTCAGGAAGTTCTTCCCCAAGGAGGAGACACAACCTCGGGCTGATTACATTCCCGACTGGACATGGAAACTTCGGGAGGCCAAGCTCCACCTCAAGACCAGGACTCGACATCGTGCCAGGTTCTGGATGGATGTTTTGCCTAGGGCCTTCCTGCAGTGGAAGGAGGGCGTGGATTACCAAGTGGAGCACCTGGTGCACAAACAGGGCATGCTATATGACGTAGCAGCTGCGGCCATTCGTTTTGCCACCTCCCGCATCCGCAGAGGCATCGACGATGGCAAGGCGACCTACCTCAAGGGACTGGCCCTCACGGCGGGGCCGAAGTCGGGCGAGATTTTGCGCATGGCCAAAAAGGCTGGGATTGGCAGCAAAGTTGCAAAGAACTTCGTGAGACCACTTCCCCTCCTCCTTGATCGCCATGGCCGGCCAGCAGAGAACCAGGACAACATCTGGCTGGATCATTTTGGGCGGCAAGAGTTTGGGCGGACTATGCGAACCTTGGACTTCATTGGTCAAGATGCCGGGCTTCCCTGTGTGGATGAGGACTTGGCCTGGAAAGTGCAAGATCTGCCTACCTTCTTCGAGGTGGAAGCGGCCTTCAGAGGGGCACCCAGGGCAAAGGCCGTTGGGCTGGACGGACTGCCAGGAGAATTATTGTCGGCTGTGCCGACGGCGATGGCCAAGGCGGCGTACCCGCTCTTTCTCAAGGCGGCAGCCCTTTTACGTCAACCTCTTCAGTGGAGGGGAGGGTTGCTTCAAGAGATGTGGAAGCGCTCTGGCAGCCAATCTTCCCCGGAGTGCTACAGGTCTATCTTCATCTCCTCGCAGCTGGGAAAATGTTACCATCGGTTGCTTCGGGAGCGAGTCTCCCCTTATGTCTCCCAGTCCTTGCACGGCTTGCACTTTGGAGCGAAGCGCAAGTCACCGGTGACATTCCCAGCATTGTATATTCAAAGCCACCTGCGCTACTGTCGTGATCGAGGTCTCTCCTCGTCGGTACTGTTTCTGGACACACAAGCTGCCTACTACAGGGTGATAAGGGAACTTTCTGTGGGCAACATTGAGTCCGATGCAGCCGTCTGCAGGATTTTCCATTTCTTTGACATTGACCCTGGTGATGTCAGAGATTTTATGGAGGAGATCAAGAATGGAGGTCTCATGGCGCAGGCTGGAATTCCCGGACTACGACACCAGGCGAAGGACCTGCTTTACAATTCCTGGTTTATCACCAGGTATGGGGACCAGCAGCACCTGTGCGCGACAAGTGCAGGGTCGCGTCCTGGTGAGTCGTGGGCTGATGTGATCTTTGCCTTTGTGTTGGGAAGGATTCTGGCACAGATCACGGAGTTGGCCACAGGAGAGGGACTGCTGACAGAACTATTCTTTGACATGGATGGTGGTCCGTTTGTACGTGATCCTCGGCAAGGACAGCTGCTGGGGCAAGATTGTACATGGGCTGATGATTGTGCCTTTCCTCAAAGTGACCCTGACCCAGAGATCCTGATGGCCAAGGTCTCCAGGTTGGCCTCCTTGGTGCTCGACTACGTGGCTAGGCACGGGATGAAACCCAATCTGAAAGCAGGCAAAACAGCCATTATGCTGGCTCTCAGGGGCAAAGGTGTGCAGAAGGTTCGCAGACGATGGTTCCCGAAAGGAGCCAGACACATCCACCTTCAGGACCTGGACTTGAAGGTTCAGGTCACACCTCAGTATGTGCATCTAGGGGGGCTTGTGGACCCCGGGATGCACCTGAAGCCAGAGGCTCGCCGCCGAGTGGTTATGGCGGGCTCGTCGTACAAGGCAGGGAGCCAGCTACTTTTTGCGAACCCTCGAATTCCCCTGGACACCCGAGTGTCCCTATTCCAGACCTATGTGAGCTCCACATTTTTCAATTTGGCTTTGTGGATCCCGTCGGGGACGAGTTGGGACATCATGGAGGGTGGCTACACCAAGATCTTGCAAGGTCTCCTCTCACGTCAGATCAAGGGGGATGCCTTTTACAAGCTGGTGGCGCCTGCCGTTCATATCATCACGGGGTCGTGGCCCCTCAGCATCTTGGCCAGGCGAGCTCGGCTAAGCTTGTTGGCATCCATGGCCGTGTCTGCCCCGGAAGCTTTATGGGCGATGGTGCAGACGGAGCAGTCCTGGTTGCAGGTGGTGAGGGACGATCTCACGTGGATTTCCCAGATGGAAGGGCCGTGGCCACCCTGTCAACCATTCGCGTGGGCAGAGTGGGTCCAAATCTTCAGGGAAAGGTGTGGTTGGATCAAGCGCCGCACTGCAGCAGGCTGCAAGAGAGATTTTGAGGATTTGTGTGGGGAGCAGAGGACCCTGATCGTCTTGTGGGCCCTATACAGAAAGGCGTGTAATCTGCTCCCAGCTTCTGAGCAGGGAGCACGACAATGGCACTGCCGGCCCTGTGGCCGAAGTGTCAAGACAAAGGGAGCCCTAGGAGCTCACTTTTTCAAGGTCCATGGCAGGATTGCGAGATACAGGCACTACGTTGCTGGCACGCTTTGCCAGGCTTGTGGCCGCCAGTACTGGTCCCGCACCAAATTGGCAATTCACTTGAGGGACTCGGCAATTTGTGTGCAGACCCTCAGCGAGCATGGACTCCAAGTCGAGACTGTGGCACCCGGGCTGGGTAGTCGTTTGTGGCGGAGACATGCTGTGGAAGACTACACCCTGGCGACACCGGAAGCACAAGCTCAGCCCCTTGGTCCAAGGGGAGATTGTGAATGGGATGCGACCCAGAACGACGCATACAGGACCCTTTGCCAGGCACTGCAAACCTTGGGCCTCCCCGAGGACAAGGCCGCAATGCTGAAGCTCTTCCAGAACACGTTGGCTCGGTTTCCCCTCTATTTCCATGAAACGATCGAGGTGGTGGAGCGCTCCGCCAGTGAAGCTCGTGAAATATGGGATTCTGGCAACAATGAATATTGGAATGAGGCCATCGTTGGTGTCATCACGGAGGCAGCTGAGGAGTTTCCCAACACACCATGGCCTACGCCAGACGATGAGAGGGCCTGTGCAGAGAACACTACCACGCTGCGGGATTTCTCGGCTTCGATCGATCAAATCGATTGGTGTGGACTCGCAGGCAACTTTCTGTCATGTCACGTGACCCCGAACATAGCACCTGTTAGCCTGGTTGGACCCTGGGAAGCTGCGAAGGGCCAGATCAGGAGGGCTTTTGACGTTGCAGCCGTGACCAGTTCATACTGGCCTGTAGTGCCAGAGGAATTGCGTCGCATTTGGGAGCTCTTTCTGGCAGGACAGCAGCCAGACATTGAGGCATCCCTGAGTTTTTGGTCGCATCCCATCTCGCTGCCATTTAGGCAGTGGAAGTGTACTGCAAGTAATTAAGCCGCGAACCGACCTCTGAAGGCACGCAAAGCAAATATATATATATACATGTATATATATACACACATATATATATATGTATATGTATATGTATGTATATGTATATGTATGTATATGTATGTATATGTATGTATATGTATGTATGTAGATATGTCCCCAGTATGGCAGCTTAAGTCAACAAAAGTTCCTTAGCAGCAACCAAGCAACAGGCGCAGGCGCCCTCGAAGCCCGGCCGCAGCATCACGCGGAGACCGGGGAAGCGGCCCGCTTGCTGGGCGGCGCCGGAGAGGTCCATGCTCCCCAGCTGCCAGGCGTCTGCTCCCTGGAGGTCCTGGACCTGCCCGGTTTAGGGTTTTTTCCCTCCCACTTAGCAAGGACGCTTTAGGGTTTTTTTCCCTCTCGCATGGCTGAGGAGCTATGCCCACTAGCGAGGTTGAATAAGGGTTTAGGGTTTGGGGTTTGCTCTACGTGCAAAGAGCCCCAAAAAGCATGGGGGAAGAAAAGGATGCCCCGACTTTGGGACTCCGGATGGAAGACAAGAACGACTGAAAAAGCAAGGGGCTTCCGCATTTTATACACCCTCCGGGACCTGGAAGACAAGCACACGCTGACTGTCGCCAATCTTCACCTCACAACCCAAATCCTTTCGAAAGGGGTCGTCGAGGGATCTCCGTCCCGCAGCCCAGAGAATGCAGTCAAACTGCCCGGATTGGCAGAGCTCCGCTGGGTCTGAGATGGAGGAGCCATAGCCGATCCTTGCCTCCTGGCCCGCCACCTTCTTCCAGCGCCTGAGGAAGGTGTCTTCAATCTCTGCGACGGGCATGCCGGAAGTGAAGCTCCTCGACTTCGTCTGCTGGTCCAGCATGGCCCGCGTCGAGGAGGAGAGCGCGATGCGGATGTCCGTCCGGGTGCAGTGGTTCTCCATGGATCGGGCCTCGAAGAGGACCACCTCGGGCGCATCCGGTCGGAGCCGGGCACAGCCAGTGCCATCGGTCCAGCGGTACTTCTGCGCCAGCAACATGGCAGCCCAGAGGCCCACGGGACCGGCGCCCACGATGGCGATTCGGCGCCGCGTGATGCAGGCCCAGTTGATGTTCCCAGCATCTTTCTCCGCGCCCCGGATCTGAGGCATCTTGGCCAGGAGCCTCTGGGCGATGCGCGCCTGGCATTCCTTCCGGAAGGACTCCAAGTCCACGTTGGCCGCCAGGGCGGCCGCCTTGGCGCGTCGGGCCTCCTCCGTGGCCTTCTCCAGCTCCGACCGCGCCAGGAGCCTTTCCCGCGTCTTCGCGACGAAGCCGCGGAGGTCCGGTTTGGGCGGCGCCTCGGCCTTCGGCCTGGAGACCTCCGCCTCGGCCATGACGGCTGCCGCTGCCAAGGCCTCGGCCTCCAAGGCCTTCGTCTCCAAACGCTCCTTGGTCTTCACCAAGAAGCCCTCCAAGTCGGCGCCGAAGCCACGCCGCTTCTTGGCCTTGGCCTCGGCCTTGCGCTTGGCCTTGCGTGCGGCCTTCCGTTCCTGCCTCAGCCGCTTGCACACGCGGCGAGCGGCCAGGGCAGCCGCATCCAGGCTCTTCTTCTTCCTGGGCCTCGCCTGTGGTTCTTCGATCAGGATTTCGCCATCAAGCTCAGCTTCATCCACCTCCCCGGCCCAAGATGTATCTGTGGGCGCCTCGGATGCTATCTCCAGCAAATCTTCCACTTCAGATTGATCCTGGAGATCTTGGTCATCTGAGTCCTCCTCCAGTGGCCGCTTGTCCTGGGAGGATCCAGGCTCTCCCGGCTCCATGGCCGGAGCGCTGCCATCTACTCTGAGCAGCTTCCGCTTCGAGCCGCACGACAGCTCGGCGCTCTGAGCGCTTCTCGAAGAACACATCATGTGCAATGCAACAACTGGATTATTCTGCATGCCCTGCACAATGTGCTGCTGCCCTGTCGGCCAACCAGCCCCCGGCCAAAGTCTGCCATTTTGGCAGTCCCGTTCCGGTCCAGCAAGATGTTGGGACTTTTTATGTCGCGGTGAAACACCTTAGCCACATAGCCACTGGTTCGACCGGCTGGCTTGGGGTGTGAATTTGGCCTCCATGTGCTGCGACGCAATTGCGGTGTCACTTCAATCTGAGTGGCCCACCTTGGGAGATGCATAGTGCAGGTGCGACAGGCCACAGGCCGCGTCTAATGCCACACCAACCTGTTGCATCAGTGTCAACGAGCTGTCTGAGATCAGCATTCCCACCTTCTTTGCAAGGGAAGCCGTTCTATGCTGCAGCCCGGGGCTACACTACACAATGCAACAAGGAGTAAGCCCGCGACCCGTTCTCGCCAAGGGAAGGGTATGTCCTCGTGGCAGCTCCGCTGTAGCCTGCGCACTCTTTTTGACCGCTGCCTTCTGGCACGCTCCAAACCCCTTCCAGACCATGCAGGGCCTCTTAAAATTTCGGCTTGGGTTTCCTTCCCTTACCCTTTTTTTGAACCCAGACTCTGCCAATCAACTGGGAAGCCGCACTTCCCTTCCCCTAAACCCTAAACCCTAAAGGTACCACGCCCCGACTCTGTGGGATCTCGTGTGTCGGCCTCCTGGGCTCGGAAACCTGAGCCCCCGAAACTGCCTGTGGGAGACCTTTCTGAACCCGAAACCCTCAACCCCGAACCCCAGCTCCTCCTACGTGTCTAAACCCCTAAACCCTAAACCCCTAAACCCCAATTCGAGCAGGGACTGCAATGCACTATCCCCTAAGCCCTTTTTTGCATCCAGGCCTATTGCAACTGCCGGGTACCCCTAAACCCTGAAACCTGAGATTCCTGAAACTCCTCTGCGCCGGCCTTCGATGGACGTCCCCACCCGATAAGAGCTCGTAGACCAGAAGGCGCTTGGCCCCGTGGCGAGCAAAACCTTACTACGGAAGGCTCAGGGTTTCGACGCTCCCACTCACGCAAGGCAAGGTTTAGGTTTTAGGCTTTAGGGTTTACTAGGGGGTCTAATGTGAGAGATTTTTGACACTCACGCTCGGATTTTAGGGTTGGTGTAGGGTTTGGACTAAGCCTGCTCGGGTTGGTCCAGGGCTTCGACTCACACACTCGCTCAAGGCATGCACCGATTGCTACCGGAACTGCTTATGCATGTCAGGCATTCCCCATCAGCGCGATGACGAAGTACGAACTAAGAAAACCCGGCACGGCTCCGGACCCAACATGGCCTTAGAATAATAGAACTAGCAAACTGCTGAATGCCTTCCTCACATGTAGTGAAAGTCAGTGGAACATATGACTTTCATGACGGCGGCTCTTGCAGGAGACCTAAAGTAGTGGCAGTCGAAAAGCTAACCTCGACGAAACAGCAGCTAAGCGAGCCCCGGGCAACGAGGCTGCTTGTTGTCGCACAAAGCCATGTGTCGCAAGATGGAGGTTCAGCCCGAGTGGAGATGTGCAGGCTGTACAATACAGAAGACATGATTTGGTTTCAAAATCCCTGCCAGTCGCAGGCACGCTTCCTATCCAGGAAGCCACCCCTCCGGGGATAGCCGACTGCATAGGAACCTGACTATACGAAGGATCGTTGTGCTCCCATCACTTCTTGGTCGGGTTCTGGGTGGTCGCGTTCTTGAAGCCCTCGACCCAGTTGATGGCCCAGAAGTCGGAGGCAAGGGCGGGATGGCACATGTACTCATAGGGCATGTAGAAGTAGCCCTTGTCGCCCCACCCTTCTCCCCAAGAGTTGCGGACGATGAAGCACTGCTTGAAGTCGTCGTAGCCCACGGCAGTAACGGCGTGGCCTCCTAGCTGTTGGTCGGTCCGCTGGGGCATCACCATCTTGCCGGTCCTGGCAACCTCCGCTGTCTGGAAGCTCGTCAGGACGGCAAAGCCGAAGACAAAGGGGTAGCCGCTCTTCAGGCATGCCTTGAACTGGCTCAGGTCCTGGGCGACGCGAGCATAACCGACGACTTTGCACTTTTGTGCCAGCTCGTAGGCCTTGTCACTGGGCTGCTGCTTGAAGAAATCATGCTGGTCGTCATACTTCCAAACACTCTCCGGGCAGACGCCGACCTTGGACATCGTCTTGATGCCGTCCCGGATCATCGCACCAGCATCCTGGTTCACGCTGCCCTCCACAAGGCGTTCATTGTAGTAGATGAACAATCGGCTAGGGGTGAAGTCGGCAAAGTCCTTATGGTTCTCCACCGTCATCTTGTGGAGGGTGAAGTGGAAGGCTGCTGCCAAAGCGTTCGCTGTACAGCTGCCGAGATGCCCCTGGTCGAAGATGGGGAAGCCGCCGTTCATTGGCCGCAGGTCAATGAGCTCTTTCGCTCCTTCGACCTTCTTCTTGATGTGGCTCGGCGCTTCGACCTTGTTGAAGGTCACGGTATGATCGCGGTGGTCCGGCATGTCTGGTCGCCAGCCGAACTTCATGTTCGTGCGCATGTTGAGGGACACGACATTGGGATGCCTGGGCGCACCTCCGATCTGCAACCTGCCACTCTCCGAGAGGCTGCTAGTGTTCTTGAAGCCCTCGACCCAGTTGATGGCCCAGAAGTCGGAGGCAAGGGCGGGATGGCACATGTACTCATAGGGCATGTAGAAGTAGCCCTTGTCGCCCCACCCTTCTCCCCAAGAGTTGCGGACGATGAAGCACTGCTGGAAGTCGTCGTAGCCCACGGCAGTAACGGCGTGGCCTCCCAGCTGTTGGTCGGTCGGCTGCGGCATCACCATCTTGCCGGTCCTGGCAACCTCTGCTGTCTGGAAGCTGGACAAAACGGCAAAACCGAAAACGAAGGGGTAGCCGTTCTTCAGGCATGCCTTGAACTGGCTCAGGTCCTGGGCAACGCGCGCGTAGCCCATCACCCTGCATTTCTGCGCCAGCTCGTATGCCTTGTCACTGGGCTGCTGCTTGAAGAAATCATGCTGGTCGTCATACTTCCAGATGCTCTCAGGGCAAACACCAACCTTGGACATCGTCTTGATGCCGTCCCGGATCATCGCACCAGCATCCTGGTTCACGCTGCCCTCCACAAGGCGTTCGTTGTAGTAGATGAACAACCGGCTAGGGGTGAAGTCGGCGAAGTCCTTATGGTTCTCCACCGTCATCTTGTGGAGGGTGAAGTGGAAGGCTGCTGCTAAAGCGTTCGCTGTGCAGCTGCCGAGATGCCCCTGATCGAAGATGGGGAAGCCGCCGTTCATTGGCCGCAGGTCAATGATTTCCTTGTCTCCTTCAGCCTTCTTGGTGATGTGGCTTGGCGCATCAACCTTGTCGAAGGTCACACGGAGGTCGCGGTGGTCTGGCATGTCTGGTCGCCAGCCGAACTTCATGTTCGTTCGCATGGGGAGTCCGGAAAGGCTCGGATGCCTCGCAGAGGCTGCCACCTGAAGCTCGGTAGCATCCGAGGAGACACCGGTAGAACTGCAGTTGCCCATCTTGGAAAACAACAGCCGATGGCGAGAGGATGCAAATCGACGCTTGATTGAACCAGGAAAGGCTTAGGACGTGGACATTTCGGGTTTGAAGGTTCTCGAGTCTAGGTGTTTTACTAAGTTGCTGGTGCAACTAAGACATTCATGAATGTGAGCACGCAGCTGCATACAGCATGTGCTTCAGCAGCTGGTGTCTTCATCCCAGAGCCCTCATCTCTGTAACACTTACGACTTACGACGCACAGCAACCCTTCTCGCGTTCAGGGCCCTGAATTTCCACATCATCGCCCACTGTCATCCACTCCGGGTTTTTCGTGGCCGTCACGAAGATCCTTGAAGGCTCCAAGGCTGGGCGCCCAACCCATCAGGATCACAAGATGAGGATGTCGGAACTTGCTGAGGACCTGGACACATCCCGCAGGGATCGTAACAAGGGGGATGCTGGGCCGAAACCCCAAAGCGTAGCACCGTGACGCATAAAAATCAGACACCACCAACCAACATCCTAATAAGTCCTAACAGCTACGCTGGGACTTTCGAGGCTCTAGACCACAAGTTCAAGATCAGCTGAACTGGCGAACCCCGGCCCACAAACATAACAAACCTGAAACCATAAGAAACCCAAAGCCCAAAAGACAGCAACCAATGCCCGCCCCAAGCTTTCAACTCCCAAACACCCCAAGTCAAATCCCAACAAAACCAACCCGCCCGAGAAGAATTTCAAGGGAAGACGCAACCACAACCTCAAGAGCCTCGCAAGGAACCTACTTACTTGCCGGGCCTTGACCTCCTCCTCGAAGCCTGCTTCGTTGGGCACGTCCAAGACCTGGCTTAACGCTGGTTTCACAGATCCTGGAGCCCGGCAAGAAGAAACTTTTTTCGGCCCGAAAACGCAAATTATGCTTCGCTCGGTCCTGCATCCGGTAAATCGTTTTTGGAAGAGAGCGCGCTTTTTTGGAATGGACACCTTGACGGCACTGCCCTGCACTCTGTAACACTGCACGATGTGAACATGCAGCTCTGCACGCCCGCATGCATTTACCAGGGGCTGCTATTCAGAAGTCAAAGCCGGCAACGTCCACGTCCGGGGACGGCTTTGTACTCGGACATTCGCAACTGTTAGGCAGCAACCTTGAACCATTTGCTATAATAGGCCCTAAATCCAAACCCGAAAACAGCTCAAAGCCTAAATCCGAAGTTTGAGGCCTAAACCCTTATCCCCCAAGCGTAGAGAACCTCTCCCGGCCCGTAGAAGCCCTGGTCTGCACCTTGATGGCCACCTCCGTGCCATCCTTCCAGCAGCTGAGATGTGTGTGTGATTTGATCAAGGTAAAACAATGGCGGATGCCGGGAGGAACTGGTAATATACCTGCACAAAGGAGAAAGAAAGAAAGAAAGAAAGAAAGAGAGAAAGAGAGAGAGAGACAGACAGACAGAGAGAGAGAGAGAGAGAAGGAAGACAGACACAGACAGAGACAGACAGACAAACAGACAGACAGTCAGTCAGTCAGTCCGTCAGAGACAGAGAGAGAGACAGAGAGAGACAGAGAGAGGAAGGAAAAAAATACACGTAATATACAATGCGAACCATTCGACGATGACATGAAGCACGAATGTCCGGTCCTTCAGAATGCCTTTGTAGACGCCACCTGGCGATTTTGGGGGAGATGGCGGTGTTGCCATGTTGCCACGGACTTTATGATTCTAACAAAAGTTTGGGTTCTGTGGGCCTTGGAGGTTTGGGGTTTCCGACTCTAAGGTTTGGGTCCGAGAAACTGTATTAGGATCTAGAAGTGTAGGACTTTTCGCGGCTTGGGAGACCGGGTGCGAAGCAAGACAAGGTAATATAGGGGCGTGAGTTAATACTTAGTATAGTGTTTTCGGCTCCTTCATACTAGAAGTATAAAAGGAGCCAATTTACTAGATCTTCACCGCTCGAGAACTCGCTGAACAACCAACGATCGCACACGGACGTCTTGTGCAACCGCAACGTGGGAGTCGGCCACAGATCAAAACTCGAACATCTCTAATCTTCATCATTCCGAACGGATGCTCCGATCACCGGAATTTCGCGCTACACAACTGGTGATCGCCCCACACAGATCCGAACGAAAACAACAGACCAGATAATCCGCGCGAACTGAAAACAAAACGACGAGGAACTAGAAGTCCGAAGCAACTTCGATCGGCTCCTCAACGACGGCATCGTGCCGAAGGGCAGCGAAAGCCTTTGGCTTGGGCCGCGGAGCACCGAGCGGAGCGGGATCTGCTCTTTCCACACTCGGAAAAGGAGAAGGCTGAGGATCAGCAGCCGGCTTCGCCTTGGGCTTGGGCCGAGGGGCCGAAGCTGTCACAGTGTGCCTAACCTCGACCGCGTTATCAGGCACGAGCAGTCGAGGCGAACCGACAGGAATGGGATCAGCCGTCGGTTTAGTGGCACGACGGGCATCGAGCTCGTAGCCACCTTGAGTGCAGGGCCCGGGAGGGCCAGCAGAATTGGCCGGCGCCGCGAGGAGCAAAGGAGACCCACCGCGCAGCATATGGATCCTTTTGGGGTCTTGAATTTGCAGCCGGCAGGGGCCCATGCAGAGAAGGGCGCCCACTAGCATATTCTGCGGTTTCGGTGTTCTTACACCTTGATTGCTTAGGCCTGGTGCAGTGCCAATAATTCAATCTAACGGTTCTTCTCGTGAGTGCGCGATGGCTTTGTTTTTTGTCTGTTCCCATGCCGACGATGGAAAATCCGGGCCGATCGGCTGATCGCCAAAATGGCAACGGACAAAATGATCACGGCTGTTCTTACGGTCTGTAAACTGAACTCTGAATTCCTACCCTCCAGACCGGACATTAAGAGACCCCAACGCCCTGAGGAGGTTTACGACGGTAGTTTTGCGTCACGATGCTACCAGTAATGTTTGTATTTTCAAAAACCTAGGTAGGTCCACGATTCGGTGCTTGCCACGGCAAGAGTAGGTGCAACTGGACAACAACTGCGCAAATCAGTACGCAAACTTCTGGCATAAGATCTCGAAGCAAGACAGCCGAGCACAAGATCCGGCAGAAAGCTATTCCGTCGTGGTCCAAAAGGCTCAAGCAATATGCATCTGAGGTTCCAGCAACATGGCTCAGTGCAAGTGAAATTTTGTCCGCAAGATTTACTAAGCTCCCGAATCTACGGGGGTTTGGGATCCGTCCTACTTTTCCTACACTGCTTAGCCCTGCCACTGAGCGTGCGACCGTAGGAACCGGAACCTTGCACACACTCAGGGGACATGGCATGTATACCAAGCCACTGGAGCCTGCGACTGAACTGCCCACTAATACTCACTCGGGATCGGGCCAAGCTTCATGTGCGTCTCATCGAAGTTATTGGTTGCCTGCGGCAAGCTGCAGAAGCAGACGTGAGCCCGCGCTTGTGGCTTGCGCTTCTACACATGTCTTTGCATGTTTAGGATATCGAAAGGAGGATCTGACATTATGGACAAATTGGACATGTCTCCCCCTCTCGCTCTGCTGAGGCTGCGAGGTAAACCAGGGCAACATCATAGATATCGTTATTCATAGTAATAATAATTACAATAATAATAACAATATGCAAGGCTCACATGATTGGCGCCTAATGGAAGAATGATAGCCTGCAGTGAAATTCGATGCAACCTAATGGTGTGCACTACACTCTTACGTGTAGAAAGCAAGTAGTATGTAAAATGCACTAGGCAATACAATATCGCACAGTATATTTTTAAAACCAATGTGTCAGAATATAGCAGAACATGACATGGGGCTTCGTGTCGTTCTGCTTGTTGGCTTCATGTTTTCATGTCGTATTTTTGCTGTATATCAAAAACCCAGGTCACAAAGACAGTTGAAATCCATGTATGTATGTATGTATGCATGCATGCATGCATGCATGTTTGTATGTATGTATGTAATGGAATGTAATGGAATGCAATGTAATGTAATGCAATGTAACGTAATGTAATGTAACGTAATGTAATGTAACGTAATGTAATGTAAATGTAGATGTAAATGTATATGTACATGTATATGGAAATGTAAATGCTCATGTAATGTAATGTAATGCAATGTAATGTCATGTAATGTAATGTAATGTAATGCAATGCAAGGTAATGTAATGTAATGTAATGTGATGTGATGTGATGTGATGTGAGTATGTATGTATGTATGTATGTATGCATGCATGCATGTATGTATGTATGTACATACCGTATATATGACAGTATGTATGTATGTATGTATGCATGCATGCATGCATGCATGTATTCACACACTCACACTCTCCCGAAGCATTCTTGGGACGGCTCACCTGCTTCAGCTCCTCGTAGGTGTACTCCAAGCATATGTCGTTCAGGTTTCGGTCCTGAGCGGCTTGGAGTGGTCTAAGCCGAGTCTAGGCTACCGGGCGGAACTCCAAGAGGCTTCTGCTGTCACGAAGCCCTGCCACAACCCCACAGTCATCCCAAGGTCTGACTCCGAAGTGCGCAAGCTCTGCACCCAAAACCTCTGCCAGCAGAAGCCTAACACCCCTCTTGCTGAGAGTTGAACGCCATAGCCGCCCACGTCGCCCAACCTGCTGAGGCACCCAGCGTCGCTCAGCGTTTCGACTACCACAGGTTTGCCTCTCTGGAGTGGGGGTGTGGCGCTGCACGCTTCGGCTTTGTCCTTGCTCCGGTACAGTGCCCGGAGCAGACCTCGAGTCAGGGGTTTGGGGTGTAGTGGTGCGCTCGCAGAACCTGGCGAACAGGGTGACGCATCTCTTCGGTCGACCGCTTCGAGCTACAACTCTCGTATCAAATCATGAAGGAAAGACAAGGAGGACCTTCCTGGTCCCGATTCCCACCAGCAAACCCGCCACAAGTGCCGAAATAGCAACATGGTGCAGCATCTAGCCTACATGTGCTGGAATCCTTTACCCTTTGAGTTACTACTGCAACGGTGGTGACTAAACATGTCAGAATACAATGTAAGGTTTGCAGGGCGAGAGCCGTTGAGCGTATGTGCACACAAACAGTTGCTGCTCTTGTTTTACCAGGCCTAGCAATGCAGCTTGCAGCAAGCCCCACCCCTTGTCACAACAGATCCGCAGCCCCTTACGCCGGAAAACCTCGGAAGGCCATGGTGATTGAAAGCTGTAAAAAGCCTGAGGGCCACATTTTCCACCAACTTTAACAGAGGAGCCCGAAATGCCACCATGTCTCTTCTCCGAGTTGCTAATATTTCCAAATCGGGGGGCGAAGTTCAGAAGTCTTGCCTCACGGAGCATGTAACCTCAGCCACCAGGGGAAAAGAAACAACGCCACAAACTGTGTTTCGGCCGATATTTGTTTGTCTACGCGTGTAGTGGTACATGTGTATGTATGTATGTATGTATGTATGTACGTATGTATGTATGTATGTACGTATGTATGTATATGAATATGCATGTATGTGTATATGTATGTAACGATATATATATATATATATCTTTATATGTATATATATATATGTATATATGTGTGTGTATGCATGTATGTGTGT